GAAATCACCAAGCCTCCTTCTGCCTCCTCTATAAAAAAGATTCCATCATTATTAAATATCACAGTTGAAATATTTTTTGTTGTTGTTTTATAAGCCAGTTTTCTTTAAAAACATAAATCTGAATGATCTTTTTAAACTGTGGGAAGGGCCAAAGAAATGAAGTGACAATTTGCTGGTAAATTCTTAAAAGTCCATTTGATTTAGCTAATATTTAATTTGAAGCATATCTATGTGTATGCTAATAAACAGTTGCAGATGGTGTTTAATTAGCATACAAATTCACTGAGCCTGCACATCCCGCTGAAAAGCACAATGTTTTTTGCAGCAAGTATATGATCAAGTCAAGCTCTTTTCAGCATAAAGTCTTCCAGAAACATAGCAGGTGTACTCGAGACTTTTTAGTCAGACAAAACTAAAACCACTGAATAGCTCTTATTCATAGACCAAAGAGAAAAGAAATTGCTAAATTACTCAATAGCTTCCCAGTACTTTGTGTAAGTAACCAATAAGCTGAGTCAAAAACCTGTCTTAGCGTGATCATGCACTGTGCATTTCTGACAGTTTGGATCCATTGCTGTTTGAGACAACCACAGTAAATAGCAAGCACCTTTATAATGCAGGTTGTCCTGGTCTGAGCTAAATGCACCCAGCTACTTCAGCATGACACCTGCTTTGTTTAATGTGACAGCACTGCATCTGCAAGTTAGTGACAGGACAAGGGGGAATGGCCTAAAGATGAAAGAGGGGAGATTAAGATTAGATATTAGGAAGTATATTTCTCCCCCCTTCCCCATGTGGCAGGCAAGGTTATCATCAAATGGCCTGTTTAAGCTTCTCATGAGCTGCATGAATGGGAACATGAAGAAAAACGTTCATGGTGGAAAATGCGTGGCCTGGCCTTTATAAAACTGCCTCCTGCCCACTCAGCTTTCATAAACCTTCATGCTCCTATTTTGGGAGATTTGTGCTCCTATTTTAGGAACTTTCTTTAAGAATTCTATGTAAACGTGGTAGTAGAGAATCTCCATAAATTATATACAAAATGCTCTCCTACTCTTGTGATCTATGGTTATACACATAGACCTACTTCATTTTAAAGCCATTTTTATACCACAGACTTCATTAAGCACCTCAGTCAAAATACATTTCTGAATATAAACTCTGATGCTTGCAGTATCAACACAGCTGTTTAAGATTTAATCAAACTACTCATTAAATTAGGAAGTGGAATTTGCTCTGTCTTGCAGACCTAACAGACTTAGATCTCTCCTCTGCTATGGCCTCACCTTATCATCCAGCTTGTGTACTCACATATTATTCAACAAATGAACTTTATCAAATAAATGGAACATTGCACATCACAATAATGATGCTCCCTGGGCATACAATTCAAAGACCATTCTTTAAGAGCTGAGTCAGAACTTGAAAAATCTGATGTTCTGTGAAGTGGGTAATTTTTGTTATGATTATGCTTTTTCCCTGGCCACTACACTTACATCAAATGTATAAAAGAGATGCCAGTCTTTTTTCAAATTCTAAGTAGGTAGAGCAGGAAATTTTTTTTTTGAACCATAGTCTTTTTTTCCTTTCCAGAGATTAACTTGCCCTTTATTTTCTCTTTCTACATCTGTGATTCATCTGTATTTCTTACTTTGCTATAAGACCATATGCCTGCCTGTACACATTTGCAGTTAATTGTTTAATGTCACCATAATATGACAAGGCTTTCCTGACCTATTTACAAATTCAGCATCCACGAAGTCAGACAAGCAAGCGCACTGACCATGAACAGCCATGATCAACTTGGCTGCTGCTGAGTTCTTTGAGACAATCTTTTGAATCTTCCTTCTATTTGTTTCTTCGGGGAGTGGGGAGATCAGACTAATGATGAAGTCAGTTCATCAAGCAGTGTTTGTCATACTATATGCATAACCAAATCAGAAGGTCAAGCCTGAGGAGGGATCAGGGCTGGGACAGATGTGGAAATATGAAACATCTGGCTTTCTAGAACCAGTGAAGTCACTACTCCTGCGAATTCTTCACAGCTCCAAGGTCATCCATCTCTTCTGGTAATGCTATCATCATCATTGTGAGTATCATCTTTTACATTCACTTGCAAGGTTATGAATCTTAAAAGACACCATCAACCCAGCAACCACACCTCAGACACAAAATCTTTCTTGCATGTTAAAATTAATACCCTGAATACAACTAAGGCATCAGAAAGAAACACTTCTTTTACTGTATTGTCTTTACATATGGTTGGGTTAGTGGTATTAATTCAAAATCAGAGCACTTAATTTTGGGCCAGCCATCTCCTGGGTAATAGCTCTTTATGAGACATGGAGGTAAAGAACATCAGTGGTGACAGAGGTTACACTTCCGCAAAGAAACTTTTAACAAACACACAACCTTGCTTGGAACAGAAGTCCTGATGTGAATACTGCAGACAAAATCATCACAGTTAACTTTGCATTAGCAGAACTTGTTCAAAGCCTGACAACCAGTTCTGGAATTAGATGTCTTGATAATTCAAAGAACGCCTTTACTTTCTATTCCTTGTTCCTTCCTACCTTCCTACCTGTGTGCCTTTCCTCCTTGCTGCTTCCCCTGGTCCATCCTCCCTTTTGCTCCACCTCTCTCCCTTTCCTCACTTCCACATTCCTTTCTTCCATCTTCTATCACTAAGTATTTTTTTATGTTTCTATGCAGAACACTGGTTCACAAGTACGTCCTACACATACATATTATCATTATTGGTATTGGTATTATTGTTATTTATACTAACAGAAAACATAAAAGATTGAAGGGGCTGGTCTATACCTTATGGGCTGCACTGACTGTGAATAGCTAAAGGGTGTTTAAAGGCTACTATACAGTTTGAATTCTTGTTGAGGGAGGAAGAAGGCAGCAGTGACAGCTGTCCAGTATCATGAGCTATATATATTGCAACAGCATAGTGGAACCGCATGCTGCTGTCACGTCTTCCATCAGAAGTTGTCCTGGGGACCATCTCCTTTATGCCATTGTCCCAGAAACATGCCAGGTCATTGTGATACATGTAAATGATAGTCATGTTCATACATAACTAATGAGGAAGGCAGACCACTTTTTGATGGACGCATGAACTGTTGGTTATTGAACAGAATACTATGCTTTTGGCAAGTTAAACCATATAAAGAAGTATCTTCTATTTTATAGCATGATAGACTCATAGGATAGTCAGGGTTGGAAAGGACCTTAAGATCATCTAGTTCCAACCCTCCTGCCATGGGCAGGGACACCTCACACTAAACCATCTCACCCAAGGCTTGGCCTTGAACACCACCAGGGATGGAGCATTTACAACTTCCCTGGGCAACCCATTCCAGTGCCTCACCATCCTTACAGTAAAGAACTTCTTCCTTATTTCCAACCTAAACTTCCCCTGTTTAAGTTTTAACCCGTTACCCCTTGTCCTATCACTACAGTCTCTAATGAAGAGTCCCTCCCCAGCACCCTTACAGGCCCCCTTCAGCTACTGAAAGGCTGCTATGAGGTCTCCACGCAGCCTTCTCTTCTCCAGGCTGAACAGCCCCAGCTTTCTCAGCCTGTCTTCATATGGGAGGTGCTGCAGCCCCTGATCATCCTCGTGGCCCTCCTCTGGACTTGTTCCAACAGTTCCATGTCCTTTTTATGCTGAGGACACCAGAACTGCACACAATACTGCAAGTGAGGTCTCATGAGAGCAGAGTAGAGAGGCAGGATCACTGCCTGCAACTTGCTGATCACGTTTCTGTTGATGCAACTTAAGACATAGTTGGCTTTCTGGGCTGTGAGTGCACACTGAAGCCGGCTCATGTTCAGTTTCTCATCAACCAACAGCCCCAAGTCCTTCTCTGCAGGGCTGCTCTGAATCTCTTCTCTGCCCAACCTGTAGCTGTGCCTGGGATTGCTCCGACCCAGGTGTAGGAACTTGCACTTGGCATGGTTAAACTTCATGAAGTTGGCATCAGCCCATCTCACAAGCATGTCAAAGTCCCTCTGGATGGCATTCTAATCAGAACTTTTGCAGAGTTCTGAGTAGAAGGGCAGCCTTTTTTTTTTTTTTTTTTTTTAACATTTCCTAACTCTTTTTCCCTGCTCTCCTCCAGCGGTATTAGCTACTGTCTGCCATACTTTCAACTTCTGTTAAAAGGCATTGCAGTAGATGAAGTCACAAAAACTCAGTTTCAGAAAATGAAACTTCTGAGCCACTATTTCCCCTTGTGTGTTACCCTACACTAAGTGTTGCAGACTGTCATCAGCTTGGAATTCCAGGAAGCTGCAATATGAACTGAGAACAAAGCTTAGAAGAAAGATTAAGTTACAGAATTGAAGCACATCCATTCAATCCATTTGAAACCCCTGGAATTGAATCTCAGGTTTTTACAATGTGATTTTGCTTCAAAACTACTGCAAAAGCAGCCTGATGGAGCTCCCCAAAACTGTTGACAGATCTTTTGTTTCTCAAGACAGCATAAGCACGCATTAACGGGATAGCCTTGCTGCTGCAGAATAGAAGTCTTGAAGGCAAGCTGTTTTCTTCTCATGTCACATATCTCAATGACAAATTAATAGCCCTAGTGATACTTGTGAATTCTACAGCACCATTCAAATAGGATACCAGTGACAGATAAACAATTATGCTTCCTCATGAGGTTTTCTGTAGTTGAATGAGGTAGAATTTTAATCATGATATGCCTGAGGATGACTGAACTGTAATAATACCCATACTCTACTAGCTGGATTTTGTGGTGTCAAAGAAATATAGAGGAATTTACATAGGAACAGATCGGTTGGATTAATCACTCTAAGTGAAAAAATACAGATTAAGGCAAACAAAAGTCAGAACAATATAATAACTTTCTAGAGTCTCTGGATCACAGTGTTTGTGAAATGCTTCAACAGACACCTGAAAGATTGATCAGAACAATGCACTGAGCTCTCTCTCTTTGCATCTAAGGAAAGTGTGGACATACCAGCTCCTTCTTCTTCATGCACTCCATGAGGATAATGAAGAGGTGCTGTGCCTGGGTTCGGGTGTATGTGAAAGTCTTCTGTATGGTAACTAGCAACTGATCTCTCAAAGACTCATTGATAAGTCTGAAATTCAAAAGGAAAACATAAATTAGAAAAACAGATATGAGAGAACATTGCAATTTCAGCAAAGGGTCTACCAAGTAAGAGCTAGACAACAATTGCTGCAGGCTGTTTTTCACAGGTCTGAAGGACAAGAATAGCTGGAACTATCAGAGAAAATTTGGGAAACACAGTTCTAGAAAAACACACTGATCATAGAAACATAGAATCATAGAATAGTTAGGGTTGGAAGGACCTTAAGATCAGCCTTGAGTACTGCCAGGGATAGAGCATTCACAACTTCTCTGGGCAACCCATTCCAGTGCCTCACCGCTCTTACAGTAAAGAACTTCTTTATACCCAATCTAAACTTCCCCTGTTTAAGTTTTAACCCATTACCCCTTGTCCTATCACTACAGTCTCTAATGAAGAGTCCCTCCCCAACATCCCTATAGGCCCCCTTTAGATCCTGGAAGGCTGCTATGAGGTCTCCACGCAGCCTTCTCTTCTCTAGGCTGAACAGCCCCAACTTTCTCAGCCTGTCTTCAAACGGGAGCTGCTCCGTGCCCCTGATCATCTCCGTGGCCCTCTTCTGGATTTGCTCCAACAGTTCCATGTCCTTTTCATGATGAGGGCATAAAAAGGACATGGACCTGTCTTCATATGGAAGGTTTTCCAGCCTCCTGATTATCCTCGTCCTTTTCTGGACTTGTTCCAACAGTTCCATGTCCTTGATGAGGGCATAAAAAGGACATGGACCTGTCTTCATATGGAAGGTTTTCCAGCCTCCTGATTATCCTCGTCCTTTTCTGGACTTGTTCCAACAGTTCCATGTCCTTTTTATGTTGCGGACACCAGAACTGCACACAATACTCCAAGTGAGGTCTCACAAGAGCAGAGTAGAGGGACAGGATCACCTCCTTTGACCTTCTGGTTATGCTTCTGTTGATACAACCCAGGTTATAGGTTGGCTTTCTGGGCTGTGAGTTACACTGACGGCTCATTTTATGTTGGGGTCCCTCATGTCCAAAGTTTTTACGTCAGTTCCTACTTATTGCATGACAGGTCATTCAAACTATCAGCTCTGTGGGATTTCATAACAAAAAAACAGAAACATCCTGACAACCTCGATTTGAGGGAGAACAACGCTTAGGTGCTGAAGACCTCTTCCTATCTATAAATGAGAATTCAACTCATGGCTAATTTTATGAAATTGAGAGCATTTGCGTTGTTAGTGGTTTTGATTTTAGCTCGAATATCCCAAGTTTCAACTCACCTTACTGAAGCTGCATGCAAGCAGGTAAGAAAACAAACTCTGTTCCTGAGTCCACTCAAAGAAACCATTTTGCTTTTGTTCATGCTTTAAACTCATCTTCCATGAGTGTAAAGTGTAATCATTTTTACATTCCTCCTCAGTTCTAATGTTAGTACTTGCAAAGAGTGGCCCAACTTCAGAAATAAATAGTAACATTACATGAAATATTAGCACTTGGACTAAATCTTTGCTATCAAAAATGCCTATTCCTTAGGATTGTTCTGGGTGAAACACTACTGTTCTTACTGTCCCAAAAAGTAGTCTGCTCTGATTTAGAACATGTATTCTTTAATGTATGAAAGTTTCTACACTATAGCATTTTTCTCACAAAAAAGAAGTGAGTGTTTCAAATTAGCTGAGTCAGACAATTTTACAGACTGTCATTGTTGATCATCTGAGGAAATGAAAATCAGAGAACCTTCATGACTCATATTTCATGATGAAGATGAAGAAAGATTTAGCCCTCTAGCAACTGCAAAGAATTATCAGAATCAGCATAGTATCTAAAAGTCACTGTTAGCTTATGGAAGCTGCTTTTGGAAAGCAATGAGCAAACCCCTGCTTATTTCATACTGTTGGTAAAAGTTGCCTGTACTTCTGTGCAGCAAGGAAGCCCAAATGAGACTGCAGGATATTCATTACACAGCTGAATTTCAAATATGATTTAACTATCTAGTCTTTATACCTACAGTAAACATGTCATTAGAAGAGAAAAAAAAATGATAATGGGAAAGAGGTATACAGCTGCATAGGAGAATATAGAACACCTAGCATACGGAGTGCATATATTCTCTGCTCTCTGAATTTGACTTTGACTGTAAATATCCCTGTTGAGTAGGGCTTTCACTTCACAAAGAAGCCTGTAAGGCATATGTCAATGTGTTTGGATTAAAATGAGTTTACATGGGATTTAAGACCATGCTGTGGATCACTGTTCTTTCCATGCCTATGGCTATGTTGTCTTTTACCTTATTACAGACTTCTCTTGAATGGAACACATTTCCTCTTTTCACCAAGGAGCACTACGGCCGCAGAGGTGCTTTTTCCTGAGATACCGGAGAGTTGGCAACACTGCATTTACTGCTCACTCACCCTGTAAGCACTCCTTCCCTACAGCATTACCTGCTTCCCCCGCCAAAGGGCAACACACGATGAGTCAAAACCTCCAGTTCTCTTGGTGGGCAGTAATGAAAGCTGACAGCAGAGGGCATTCTGTGTGTGGGTTTTAAGAAAAACAAATTGACCTCCAGGATAGAAGATGTTGTAAAGCACATGGGAACACAAAAAAATATGTCAGAGCACTGGCAGAAATGTAGATTTGCTCCATGTTAAACAGAATAAACTGGGAAAGGCCGACATCCTGAAAAGCACTAACATTACTTTGAGTTGCAGATTAGTATGTCATATAAAATATAAATTCTGAAGACCCTTAGGCTTTAAAAAAAAAAAAAAAATCGCAAATTTGTTTAATCAAGAAGACTGTCCTCAAACAAAATGGTGCTCTCACGGTAAATATAAGTGGTTCAGAGCTACGGAATTTTCCATCCTTCAAACTAAGAAAGTAAAAAGTTAATCTCTAAGAACATAAACTGGAGGATCTAAAAAGAGATGTAAATAATGCTCTGATTTCCTTTGGAAATGATATATAAAAATGAAGTACATTAAGAAGTCTGAAAAGTATATGAAAAAATGCATGGAATTTGAAGAATCTGAAATGAGAGAACTTCAGAAAACATTTCCAAAGATCAGGGTTGAAAATAATCCTGTTTTCTCATCACAATTCAATTTCCTTGAAAAAAAGTGTAGAATCCAAACCTGGAATTTCATTACAGAAATTGGCCCTCTGTCAGGCTAATGCACACAGCAAGAGAAACTTGGTTTTGTAAGCACTGACTGAAAGCAGGATTAAGTCCTGAGGCTTCATAAGCAGCCATCACTTTCCTAAATTAAAGCTTTCAGAAACTGTCATATCATAAATTTAAATAGCACGTAGAACAAGCTCCATGTGAAAGATATGGAGATTTTTAAATAAAAAAAAAAGTAACAAGAAGTGGTTCCTTAACCACAGGGTAAACATCTTTTGAAGCACCACTGCTCAGAAACTTCCTATTGCCATCATTTGACTTAAGCAGTTTTCTAGCCTTACTAAGTACTTTTTGTTTTAACAGCTCATTGGTCTGCAGTTCTACAGCACACATTTTCAGTGTCTTTGTGAGATCAAAAACTTGAAGTGATTCTAATCAAAAATAGAAACAATAACAGAAAGCTCTCTAATAAAGTAATTGTAGCTGACTTCAGCTCTAAACTGAAATCAGTCATATCAAGACTGTATCACACTTACTCCTTAGGAATCTACAAATCTTAAAGGCATCAGATTAAAGTGCCCAAGTGGGTAACCAGCTGTGACAAACGCAAACTGTGCCAGGCTAACTGTATAATGCATACACCAAATCCAATGCATGTTAAACTACTAACTTCACAGACTACTCTTAGCAAAATAACTGTGACTTGCAGGTGGGGAGATGATTTATCCACTGTGCAAAGACAATCACATTTGTTACACATACAACCTTAGCACACATTTTTAAAGTCACTTATTCCTAGTTAAAGAGGTGGCTCCTTGAGTCTTGTGATGAGAGGTCTAACCTAGAACTCAGGAGATTCTTAGCCACACTCTTGGGAACAGTATTTTCAGCATGGACTACAAGCCTCATATGCATAAAGCTCCATAGGTGTAAAACTGTTAACTTTACCAGACTGAAATTCTACGATTATGACTTCCTTCAAAGTCAGCATACTCCCACCCTAACAAAACTGCACAGTGTCAGATGAAGACAGCATTTTTATCATCTTTCTGCTAGGCTTCAGTTCTGAAAATATTTTGCAACGTACGAACCAAATCCTGCTTTGGGGCATGGTTCCCTTGAATTCCATTAAATTTTGCATAGAAGCAATGCTTCAGGTAACTTCTTCCTCCCTAAATGAAATGTCCTACAAAAAGACAATTTAACCTGTTCTTTTATTTCATTCCCCACATAGTTAAAATCTGTTCTTTCAATCCCTAAATACCTACGATAAGCCCATTTTCTTACCAGTTCAGATATCCAACATTTTTTTTCTCCCTAGATTATGCATCCCGATTGCTGATGGAATTTACGTATTTACTGTCAAAAATCTGGCATTTAAAGTAGAGCTATATAGATTTTAAACAAATACATTCAGTTTCAGAAAAATAACTACTCATAATCGTTATTAGAGTGGGTTTTTTTGTTTGTTTGTGGGGGTTTTTTTGGCTTTTTTTTTTTAGTTAGGTCCCGTGTCCTGTTGCCCCCCTCCCCCCCCCCCCCCCCCCCCAAGAGAGATGCCAACATTAGTTTTGATGCATCAGATTATCAGAACTGATCTGTATGGCCTTACCACAGGAAGAAAGGATGAAAGATGTCTTGGATCCATCAGGAGAGGCCACTTAAAAACACCAAATTGACAAAGTAAATGAAGTGACATTTTATTTCTGGCCAAGATATGCTGGAAGACTAAACATCAAAACAGAACTCCCTTCATTGCTATGGCCAATGGAGAAGAGACAGATGACAGCATTTTGGTATCCTCTCTCCTCAAAAATAATTGTTTTTTTTAAGTAATAGAGATAATAGACACTCCCCTCAATAACATTACAGTCATTCAAACTCATGGCATAACATTTTGTAGT